ATACTGGAGTTAGGCCACGAAAGATGAGCGTGGTAAGCAGACCATCTGCCACTACACCACTTCGTACGGATAAGGGTGGCATATTACCGTGAATATATCGGTCAAGGGCTATTTCGTGTCAAGATATGTAGCCAAACAGTATTTAAGGATAAAGGATAAAGCATTTGCCGTTGATCAATCCCTTTTTGGGATGCGGCACGCATTCTACTTCCATTTGTACATTCGTAGTGGCGTTTGAATGCGATGTGGCCTATACAATGACTTGCGGGGGCCAGCCGATGTACAAGTCAGTGTTTTTATCCTCCCAGACAAGTCTGGTACCAATTAACCGACCCCGGAGGGATGGAAGGCTTGGTTGGCCCGGGCGACTCACGACCCAGGATTTGATCCCCGGACCGCTCGCGTGGTAAGCGTGCCACTTGCCACTACACCACTTCCGCCCTATGCATGCAATAATTAATATCATAACGATCCCATTTTTAGAAACAAGAACGACACAGCTTCACAATTAGGACAAATTTTCAAAAATAACACAAAAATTGCCTTACCCTCTCATTCGGTTGAATGTCGCTATCAATCCATGCGAAAGCTATTGGACGTCGGAGACGAACACTGTATGAACCAGAGGTAATTTGACCAATGCGCTGTAAACAATTCAAAACTATTCGTCGTTAGCTAAAGTTTCGGGTAACAAACACATGCTACTTTTGCGGAGCCGCATGTAAAGAATGATCGTACCTCTTCATGACCTTCTCGACGAACTACTTCCATTCCGAATGGAAGACTCTTCCATTCAAGAGGCACTTGAGCATTGTCGGCAGGATCAAATGTGAGCAACGCCAGTCTACGATCGAATTTCTGCTTACTCAACTCCAAAGCAGCTGCTTTTCCAATGAAGTCTTCTTTAGAGAAGTCAACCAGAGCTAAATTGCCACTTTCATAACTGTCTGTTACTATCAGCGCATCGTTTGTTTACACTCGAACGAGAATATATTCACCTCCCAATCCACATTCGAAGGGATTCGTATCAAGAGTGAGTTCTCGGCCCCAAATCTTGTAACCATGCTCCAAGCGCATCATGTTCATTGTTGCTTGACCGAAGTTCACCACACCGTATGGTGCACCAGCACGGATAATTTCCTGATAATAATGCCGTAATTAGTACTTGCTAATGAACAACCACCAAATAACTGTACCAGCACTATCACAAGCACGATTACAAGCATTAGTAGGTAGTTGAAAACAAAGTAATTTCTGCAACGATGATTGCAGGGTGAAGCTGTCAAAATGCGCTAAATTCACTGCAAGCGGCCACTGCGCACATAGTAAACTGAGTAGGGTAGCTTTGCTACACACTGCATGGATCTATCAATGCTAGAGTAATCTCCCTCTCAGTATTTGAAGTTGCGTTTTAGCGCAACAAAATGCGCCAAAAAGTCGGTTGTAGGCTATTTCAAAGCACATCAAACGGAAAACAGGATGTTTGTTTCTAGTAGTTACGAAGCAATCATTTAGCGAGCGCGCTCGTGCTTACAGTGCGTCATAATTCATCGCTGAAATTACCAACTACACTCAAATTGAAAGTTAATCAAAGAAAATACTTTGCCATTGACGGGGCTACACTAAAGACTTGAAGGGGGATTCCATGAAAAAGTCTAAGAAGGGGAAACTTACCTAGTGGAAAGAAGGCGGACCCCCAAGGGAGACCGACCGTCACTTCGCAGAGAATGATATGTCCCCTGCGACATAGCAAGACCTTCCCGTAGCGCCATCGACGTCACAAGCCCACCGAGTGGCTAACCATACGCCGCAGGTCTCTAGCCGTTTAGCAGAGAGGGCGCTAGCGTTGAAGAGGACAGCACTGATGGGAGTCGCATCAGTGCAGAAACCAACGAGCAAGGAAGGGATCCCATTTGAGCTTTGAGCCGTTTCTACTTTTTCTTCATCCCGACACCACTGACCACCTCTAGCTTAATCCTAATGAGCTGCCATCTAATCGTGAATTCCGCCATTAAAGATACTCCAACCATTAACATGTGTATTCGTGACGGAACTGAATTACCTCTCAAGATATTCCAGTCACTAATATGACTATTCTTCCCTGTCCACACCTTCAAGTCGACAAAAAGTAATTTCTAGAGCTGATACCTGGTACAGCCTTGCGGAGTCGGCTCGATTGTGGAACAGTTCATAGCTCAGCTGTCCGGTAGACGTGGAACTTCGAGCGCACACAACGGCCACTAAGCCCAGTCGCATCAAACGGGTTGAACGCTGAGGGAAGCCTTCTTCCGACACATCAGACTTTGTGAGTTCGGACAGAACCTGCAATAGATCGCTGTTTTTGTTTTCACTTAATGTTTGGCAAAAGTTTATGCCAGAAAACGTAAGCAATCCTGCAAAACAGTTGACGAAAAAAAAGCCACAGAAAATCCCAGCAGTTCACCTAACACCAGCGTGTTTTCAAGAAACAAACACAGAAGGGCTAAATATAATTGAACGTATCTCAAACGGCACCTGCCATCATATCGTGATAGCTCGGGTATGGCAATAACAAGCGTTTTTTTCCCTTGTAAAATCAGGGTTTAGGTGAGTGGCCAGCTCACCTTTCTGCTATTTGGTCCCACCAACGCAAGTGAGGCGAGGTACTCCGACACGCAGTTCACTTGCACCTTGAATTATTTCTCTCTGCAGCAGCGCGTCGAAGCCTTAAAAAAGAAATGCACTAGTGTCACTTTGAAGTTGCTACAAATATCTCTACTTGATCTCATCTTTTCTTATTCTCTGTTTCTCACTGCCAACAAGACCACTAGAAATAAAAGTAATAACTTCGAGCAGTGCTATCGAAGAACTTTTTTTAAAACTAATGGTGAAAGAGTTTGAAATTTTGTTTGAATGAGTTAAATTCTTTTAAAATCAATTTGCCAAAAGCTAGCTTGATTCATATCACCTTGCGGAATAACAGCGGAGCGTTAGAAATTATTAGAAAATACACTCCCACCAGCCGCTTAGGCAACGAGTCCTCAACATTAATCTACTGCCGAGGCCCCAAGCAACAACGGCAAGCGTCGAGGCCACTTTGATCCAAAAGCGAAGCACAACTACTGACAGATACGCTTATTGAAGATATTGAATGGTAATTTTAACATAGTTCGCATTCTTGTTTAGGTAGAACTAAGTAACCCAGCGAGTTTGTTGCGCGATGATTTCAAGCTATCACACCCAGAAAGAAAACCAGAGAGATTGCCCCGCCCGTCAAAAACAACTAAAAAAAGTCGTTTTAATGATGATCTTGCTAAGCATGGCGAATATTCGGACCTCAAAGCTGACTATAGTGTATAGTTTGTTTTCTAGCAAAACAAAAGTCACTCCACCAGTACTCAACTTTCAACACCAGGCAGATAGAAATCCGTAAAGCTCGTCCAGTCACTTGAAAGCAAACAGAAAGCTCACCAATAGATATCTCTGCTTTCCCTTTCAGGCTCGGTAAGCATGATGAAGGCAGATCGAAAGTCGTCATGATGGAATATTTTCAACGGTGCAAATAGACGACCTTGCCGGGTTAGCATCAAGCCAGAGCCAATTTTACCGAGTGGAGGGATCTACGATTAAAATTATTTCGGAACAGTATTTCAGGTTATTGTGAACATCACTGAGCGATATTATGCGTGCACTGGACAACACATTCACGTACATCTAATAAACAAAAGAAAGAGCAATTAGGTGGCGATCATACCTGGGTACAAATCGCATAATTCATGAGCGCATCTGAATCCTCTCCTTTCACTTCAATCTTGCCTTTCCATGACATATCAATCACACCACATTTATTGGTAACCATCTGATATTCTCGACTCAACGTAGACAGCATTCCTTCCTCATCTATATCGAAGACTTGCGGAACCTAAATAACAAAATCAAATATAAAACCTGAAAATGGTAAAGAAATAATAGTAATAAAATAAAAAACAAAGAAATAAATAATAAAATAATAAATAAATAAATATAATGGAAAAAGGTTGTGCCCACAACCCCATAGAAGGATTACCTAACATGACGTACCTCCCATCCATTACGGAATAAGAAGTGGCCTTTGTCCCTCTTCAGCCTTCCATAAACTCCACTGACACGATCAGTAGGTCGCCCACCCAGTCTGTTCGTGTAGGACCAATTGTAAAACATTGAGTATGTCTCACGACTCTTGTCCACAATGAACCTGCAGGGTTCAGTTTGAGAAACAATTCCAAACCAAAGACCACAGAAACCACAAATTCAAAAATGCGTGTGAATACATAGTAATAATTACTAGTAACATTTGGAATAATAATGTACTTTCTCGTAGCCCATCTATCGTATCGGCTTGCATCAGTGTCAAATAATTCCAATGGTGGTTCGCCATCCGCCATCCAGTCAGCTATGTATCTGAAAAGGTGCACAAATGCAAGCAAATTGAAGAGATGATAAAAAATGCTCAAACTCTGGACAGAACGAAAGAGAAAATTACAAAAAAAAAACACTCTGAAAAAGGACTATTTACCTTCCAATTCCACCGCCACTACTGACGCCATCTAGGAAACCAGTTGATACCCAATAGTTCTTATCAAACGGTCCTACCTAGAAGTATCGACCTTTAGTCAATGAATTAACAAAACTATTGTGAGTACCAACGAACCAATGGATATCCATCTGCAGTCATACTGAAAAGCGCAGCCTTGGCCTCTACTTGAGCATCTTTAATCGAAGGAACAAGCTCGCACGCACGGTTGTACGCTTCTTCCAAACGCGAAAACTCGGGCTGAATAGCACGAGAGCCCTCTACAATAGTCGATGTGAAACCAAATACGGTAACATAATCGTACAAAACGGAAGATTACCTTGTGGAACACCTTTTTGGTACCAATCCTCTCTGAACACGACTTTCTCCATAGGTTCGAAGCCACCGAATATGAATTTGTCGCCATATTTCCGAAGATAGAACGTGCTGTCATGATCTATTACAGCAGGAGTGTTAGGAGGAGCTGAACTTGGCTGAAACAAAAGTGGCTTATGCGAACTGAAAAACAAATGGAATAATATTTAGTGAATAAAAATCAGTCACCTACCGTAAGCGTTGCATACTGATGCTCAGCAATGACCATCGGAAGCTCATGACCAGATAGACGAGCGATATCATTAGCCCAGATTCCTCCAGCATTCAGCAGATTTCTCGCCGTAACCAATGAACCATCGGCCAATTCCACATGCCAGAGACCCTTCCCTACAGTAAGTGAATAACGAAGCGAATATGTGCATTTAAAAAGGTTAAAAGTAATCAGCTAACATAAAATAAAAAATCCGTAGAAAACTCTTCAAAGGCTGCTGAATCGAGTTGCAAGTCATCGAATATAATCATACCTTGTCATATCGAACTGTTTTCGGTGTAGAATTGACCACTTGAACACCTCCAGCTTTAGCGCCCGTCACTAGAGCACGGTTCAGTCCTGAAGCAGAAATCATGCCATCGTTCGTTGTGTACAACGCACCAAGGATCTGAAACAATTCCGATTAGCTTCACGAGAGTGAAAGCTATAGAACTCTTAAAAGCTCTGCAAAAGCAGTGAGAGAAAAATTACGCAGCATCAAACAAATCTAACCAGTTTAGTGTTCACCACAGGAGCAATTTCGGCGACTTCTTCAGGACTCAACAGTGAAGTTTTACAAACGTCACCTTCCTAAACGTCAATAATGTATGCTATACGAAGTTATTCTGCAGTCTTCAACACCTCCAGAGGAATAACGGACCTTATAGTAGTCTCTAGCAACATAACGCTTAAATTCCTGGAGTCTAGTTGGATTGGTAGCAAGACGTATTGTGCCAGCTCTTTCAAAATTGAGAGGCTAAACAACGAGACATAAATTCAATTTCAAAATCTGAAAACTCAAATTGCCGAAAGCCAGCATATGATCCATACCTCGCCCAGTTATACGACAGCCTACTATACAGCTCCACTGAATACGCAAGTATCGGCTTATACCGATGGGCTGGATGACTGGCCGACACAAGCCCTGGTGAATGGTAGGAAGTGCCCGAAGGTGTCGCGACTGCTGAAACACAAACTCTGCCATTATGGGTCTTTGAGCCATGAGAGTAGTATGGTGATGAGAATTCCCTGGGTTCCCCTCATCCAAAGCACTAGTAAGGGGAGGTGATCAGGGGAATTTCTACGATACCCTCATTAGACATTACGGGTAACCCTTTCAATTGCAAGAAGCGATGACAAAGCCGGTTATTCTATGATTTTTCGTATACATACCTTCTTTTTCAAGCAGTAACACGTCCTTAATATTTCTCTTGGTAAGATGGTAGGCCACAGAGCTTCCGGCCACTCCACCACCCATAACAAGCGCAAACACATTATATGTTGACTGACTTCTGGAAAATAGCCTCTATAGGAGAAACCAAGTTAGTCAAGAGTTGAGAACCTGCAAAAGTCAAAAAACATTAAAAAATACTTACCTATGCGCTATGGCCATGACGGAGGGTCTCAGGCGACCCACTCGCGTCAGACTCATGATGATGGTGTGATTTGCAGCTGGAAATGTCAGGTAAAACTACCAAAGTTCGTTATAAAGCACTGCAAGCGACTGAAATTTTATGGAATAGAAAGATGAGTTGAAGCAGCAAGAAGTTTTCTTATAAGATTTCAGAAGTTAAAGTGTAGCTGACCATGCAGTAACCTCGAGCGAAGCATCACTTTTGCGAAATGAATAATGTCAATTCCAGTTAGGGGAGGCATCACAATGCAGTTCTCCCAGAAAGCTAGGGTGAGTCCGAGCCAGGGGGGGTGTAGCCAGTCTATGGGGGGAGGGGGAGGGGAGTGGGGGTAGGTCTCACACTAGTTCGCGCAGAAATTCCATCATGATGCCTACAGGCAAAGGACCTAAAAACTCCATGAACCCGATGAGACACAAATGGCCCAGTATTTCTAGATTTCGATGCACGGTCAACCGTCCGTTCGCACTTTTCGAATGAGAGGGTTCGCATTTTGATGTTGAGCAGGTTGGCTACATCTGAAAAAAGTGTAAACGGGGTTGTACAGAGGGGGTTGAAATTGACGGGCTTTTCGACGAATTTGGCGGAAGTTTCATGAAGGCAGGGTAAAGTACACAAAATTAGTGGATCTGCCGCTTTGACGGGGTGTGTCGCCTGGCCTTAGATCGACTACTATTGGAACAGCCATGATGGTGCGGCTGGTGATGAGTAAGGAGGAGGGGTGCCGTGGCGGCCATCTAAAACTGTGGTAGGGGGGGTCGCAAAATTTCTAGAAAATTGGCGACGGTTTACCCTGCTTCGATGTGTTTAACCGAGCAATATAATTCCAACAAAAACTCTAGCTATTGTGCGGAAGAAATGACGCTGCGATGGATGAATCAACTACTCGTGCGACTCAAGCGTTGCTGAGAGGGGAGAAGGGGAGGGTGACATCGTTTCGCAGATCACTCAAGGCATTAAAACTACGACAAACATTTTCATTTTCATACTTGCTTATTTTTGCTTACGCTCACTTTTGCATAGGCACATACACCAACCTACTCTCCTGCGGAAAACTATCACTTGTTTTTGTTGGATAACTGCTGTTTTACGCCGCAGTTCGCGTTGCGAAAGTTATCACAAGAATGCTGAGTTGTGGGCAAAACTTTCGCCCCAGCCGGGATTCGAACCCGGATCTCTTGCTTTCCTAGGCAACTGGATCACTACTGCAGCGACACCCCGCCGCGCTGCCTTTCCCGACACCTCTCCAACTGCATTTGCGCCAAGGAAACTATAATAGTACCACTTTTTCAAAACGTCTCTAATAAATAAAAAGTATGCCATAAGTTTAAACTTCTTAACGACGTGAGCGCCCAGTTCTTTCACATATCATATGGCTGCCGCGACCAGTGTAAAACTATTAAGAAAGAAAAACAACATGTCAGGTTTAAATGAGAGAGTAAACGGGAAGTTCAAGCGTGACAATCTGAATGAAGAGCTCTTAAACATGACTAATTCAAGCATGAAGGCAAAGCTAAGGAAATCAAACGGGTCTGGAAGAAAACAGTTGAGCAATGATGAACATTTCTGCGCCGAGTTTCTGCTTGCTGCCAATGATATACAATCGATCGATAACAACGCAATTGATTCTACTCTGGATAGCGCTACAGATTGATAGCATACAGACTAGCATAAAAACTTGTATGATTCTTTGACCTCTCAGCCGACTCCTGCTTATTTCCCGCAATAACGTTGAAGGAGCAATGAACAAATAAAATGGTATACAAATTTTCTTAACTCTGCCTTTTTGTAAGGAAAAATAGTGAGCAGACTGTGGAAAGAAACTATTTATGACGACTTGATCATGACTTCGAAGACCTGTGAAAAGGCCATAAAATTGAATAAGTGTAAAAAAAAGTTGTTATGATCACCGTTCCATCACAAAGTTCAATCGAAAGAACACCGTCGTAATCAGTGGTTAAAAGCAAACCACTAACAACTGATAAAGCTCTTCAATCAAAGACAAGGGACAACATTCACTTTTTTCCCACACAGAAAAGTTACAGCAGTGTAAAAAACCCAAATCGTAGATGCACACGATGAATAATTATATTAACAACGTATAATAAGCACGCGATATGGAAAAGTCAGGACTGCATCCGAAAAAAATGCTTTAAATTTGCTGCAAGGAATCCTTTGAAAACGTACTATAGACTTGATGCGATAGTTGAACAGACTGAGATTGCACTCAGGGCGGAAAAAATGAACGCCAGACTCCAATGAATGCAACGGCTGATATCTCACCCTCTTGGCATCTCACTACCTCAGCTGTTCTGTTTGCTTCAAAATGATCGTTCAATGAACGATTTCTACTTTTTGCTAATAAGTTTTCATACGAAACCAAGATGTTTCCTAAAACGACACTCTCAGAGGAAAGCAAGAGCGCACACTCCGCACTATCAAATTGTGGAGGCGTTCAATTCTCGCCATAGGTCAGGTCAACATCGCCGCACGCTTGGCATACGCCACGTACATACGCAGGGCGAAGGTACCGATCCAATAGGGTGCGGCCACAAATCACGGGGTACAAGACTAAGTTTGATACAGAAACTGATTACAGGCCTATGAATGCACCGCAGATCAGATTTAAGACTTGAGGATCCTTTCGCGAAAAAAATCGTGATTCTATTTTTCCATAAATCACTGGCTTGAGACCCATCATCCACGATAAGAATGAAAAGAACAGAAAAATTGCATTTGTTTTGGTAAAAAAATTCGAAAAACCGAAAGGGCTGCTACGCGTTCAAAGTACCGCCGCACATCTGTCACAAATGCTGGCGACGGGAATGCTTCCACTTGGTTGGAGTGCCTTCACTAGAAACTCTTTCTGGCCTTTTGACTTATTGCATTCACATCTCACACTTCTACTCCATCCTATTCTATCGATCGATTTGTCTCTACTCTCCAAAATCGCTTTAACTAACTTTAATCCAATGCTTTAACTTTCATTGCGTCGCCTGATACGTAGCCGCCCCAAGGCGGATTCTTTCCATGCCCCTTTGGCTCGCCCCGCGCTTTTACCTCGACTGCCAATAAGAGTACATTTCTCTAAGTTGTATGTTTCTCGGTGTGCGGAAACGAGTCTTCATCCGTGAAATTTGTGTGCTGTTTCAGTGGTACAGACTGATAATTCATGATTCATTGGAGATGTTTATGATTTTCCGCGAAGGGTTCCTTTAGGATACAAAACTGGGGATTGCTTACCAAGATAGCATCAGACAAAAGGAGAGAAGGTCGATGTGAACCGGAAATCACCGCAGCGGTTGTGCGTGACGGCGATTACGTGGCAGGCAGGAATTCAGAATTGGGTTTTTTCACGATCGCGGTAATTCTTCTTAAGATTTTCTAGTGCTTCATAACCTGCAGTCGAATTTATTTCACTCTAATTCGAAACATGCATGCGGCTGTTCTTGTTACCGTAATTTGTGAACACCTAACTTGTTTCTTGATTTTCTTTCCCTAGCGTTAGTCCGCGCAAAGTCAGGCGTCCGCTATTTGTGAACAAACTAAACAAGATACTTTAACACATTGCGTACCGCGTGCGCCACATGGTGGCGCACGATTTCCACACGAAACATCATGGTTTAATCTGATTTATTTGAAACATTTTTCAATGCTCATGGACTGGTTGCACTCATTTTCAGAGCCTGGAAACCATACGTGTCATCACTGGTAAAATTGTTGATAGATTAATGATGATACGTTTTTGAAAAATATAAAAAAGCTACGAAGGTGCTCATACAACGGCGGTCCGCAATGTGTTAAAATGCCTTCGGATCAATTTGTGCATCTTCAGACAAGGCATGCTTGAAAAGAAGGCAGACCGGCGAAGCCGTCGAATGTGAAATTCATCGAACAATGAGTGAAAACCATTCCTATAAATTCCTCACTCACACAGATAGGTGATCAAAGTTTCTCAACGCACCATCCGATTAGGTTAGGTGGACCTTTGGTTTGTAACGAGCGCCGATCCTTTCGTGCAGTATCCATCAGAGATGACCAAATCAGGGGTAACTTCACCTAATCGGAAGGGCTTGATTCATCCCCACAGGGGAGGGATCGAAGCGACAAACAAAGTGGCACGCTCACCACGTGAGCGGTCCAGGGATCAAATCCCGGTCGAGAGTCGCCGCTGGTCAGCAAAGTTCCCCGGGGGTCGGTTAATTGGTACCAGACTTGTCTGGGAGGATAAAAACACTGACTTGTACATCGGCTGGCCCCCGCAAGTCATTGTATAGGCCACATCGCATTCAAACGCCACTACGAATGTACAAATGGAAGTAGAATGCGTGCCGCATCCCAAAAAGGGATTGATCAACGGCAAATGCTTTATCCTAATCAAATCTATTTCATTAAAACCAGTATCCATCGAACCACGTCGTTTCGAAGAGTACTTGACGTCGCTTGACTCTTTTTCACGGAATCCCATTTTCCATTGAAAAATCCGCGAAACACAAGTTAATAGCAGGCTTTCGACTGAGCAATCGATCAAATCACGTTTTTGACTCATGTAACTTCTCATCACGTCCCTCCACATTTTTTTTTGGTGGAGGATGAAGCCTCAGCATCATCTGTCGTTGGTAGCCACAGAGAGTGCCTCTCCGGCCGACTGCACAAATGTTGAGCTGCCGTTGGCTGTATGGGTGTAGCTTTCGATCACTAGCTGCCATTCACTTCATAACAGGATTGAAAAAAATTCTCCTTCATCCTTCTTCTCTCTTACACGGAACCAGTACAAACGATGTCCGCAAGTGCACGTCCGCAGTAGGCTTAGCTAAGCGAACAGAGCACACAAATAATCCGCACCAGAGTCCCTTACGAAGCGATTCAATGATAGTTTGGGAACACCACTCAAGTCATCAATCATCAAAGTCTCCTAGTAGGGGGTGTACAACAAGGCTGACCACATCATACTGAATGGAAGACTTCCAGTAACCAGCTGAAAATTGCACACAGACGAGAAACCAGTTCTTTCGATAAA